TGGCTTCAAAACATTCATTTTCCTTCTTGTATTTAAAGTTTTACAAATCTCTGGAAAGAAATATCATATCGTTGTCATTTATATCTGTTGGGCTTCTCAAAAATGAATATCTCATGTTTCTATGTATAGTGCGAAAACAAGTGTGATCTATCCATCAACTTACTGCTAAACTTCAAACCTAGAATTTTCTCTCTAAGCCATTTTAGACAAAATGAACGTCTCTCTTCACACGACGATCCAAACTTAAATGTTATCTTTACTAAAACATATATGATTTGAATATAGTTCAAATAATACAGTTTTGATTGTGCGTTTGTAAAAAAATTAAATAAACTTTGGTGAAAGAAATAAAACAGTATGAACGAAGAAAAGAAAATAAAACTGATAGTTTTTGAAACACCATTTGTTTGATTACTTTGATAAGAGCAAGCAAACTTGTTTTCGACAAAATTTATTAGGAAAAAAAATATCTTTAAAATATTTTCAAAACGGTAAAAATCGGTCAATCCGACCATTTCAATCAGTTCTGATTCGATTACAACTCTGGGCAGGCTATTCTTGACTCCAAACGATGCCGACGTAACACTTGGCTGTAGACAACGGAAATGAAATATGTATCTATTGCAAAAGATTCAATATGATTTTCTCGTTGTTTTAGTCCTTCTATAACAAGTTGGATAGAAAGGCTACGAAAGTCACGCTGAAATTCCATTTTTCAAGAAAAACCTACCAGTTGCACCATTAGATGTGTTACATCGGGTTCCCATTTTATTCAAAAAGTTTGACTTTTATAGTTGATCGTGCTTACTTCTAAACACTTTTTATTATCTTTTCTTATTCATCATGTTCCATAAACCATTGATGTCAACAACTTTTCTTCTTGATGCATGATAATACGAAAAAATTGTACGAACAACATTTATTTTAGTTGAACTTCATGTGTATCAACGATGTAAACCCTTTAGGAGGCTAACTCTGCAGAACAAAGAAGATGAATACCAGGTTGAAATGCTTTTTATTGTGGAATTACGTTCTGTACATAATATGTAAACAACACGAGAATGTGCATGACGATAAACAAGATAGGAAAAGTTCTATAAGAATGATGAAAACGAAAGAAAAAATCTAGGTGACTAGAAGAGTATGAAAGGGAAAAATCCATATAAGAAAAAAGAAAAGAAAAAGTGAGCACGCTGTGATAGAAATATCACGGAATAGAACTTGGCTATTCCATGATAATGTGTGCATAAAATTGTTATTTAATGAAAACAGTTCAAGTGTTTTATTCCATTTTGTAATAATTTGAAAAGCGTTTCTCGAAATATCGTACCAGTTATTGTATACAAATAAAATGGTATGCAATTGGGCGTATATGTAAGAAGAAGAACAAAGCTAAAAATAAGACTTTCGAGTGCTCGTTGAGTTGATGATTTTGTTTGATAAAATGTATACGTCAAATAAAATTTTTGTCCTGCTTGTGGTAAAGTAAATATAGTCAAAAGAATAACTTGCGCAATTAACATTACAGTTAAACTTCTTTCGTCTTTTGTATTTCGTCTAGCATAATTATTACAGCTCATACCAACTGAAGAAGGTCCTATTCTATGGACTTTTCGAACATTGTTAATAGTAAATAAGCCAATAACCAGCATGACCGTGGATGGAATGATAGTTGTTATAAGTGATTGAGCAAGATCATTAAAAACACGACATGCATCAGATTTGGCATAACATTTTTGAGGTGTACCAATCATGTTAGCATCAAAACAGTAGCCAGATTCAGCCCAGACTAGAGCTGAAATGATACTAACAATTAAAATCCAAAGATAAGCATTCTTCAAATTGCTCATTCGACGTCGATTGATATTAGGACTTGAAATTAAATAACGATCCACGCTAGCAAGAGTTAATAACCATAATGAAATAGTACGCATTGTAAAAAGAACAACAAGACGTAGTTTACATAATACAGATACTGTCTCTGTTCGATCCGCAATCATAAAAAAGCTTTGAAATGCACGTGGTGCAACGCCCGAAAAAATAATTATTAAATTCAATATACTAGCCACAAGAAAATAGACCACACATGGTCGTGATCGAAGTGATCTTTGTGCAAATACCAAACAATTGAGCAAATTCCCAATCAAGCCAGAACCAAGAATAAAAACTGACATGTATAAAGTCAATTGTCCTGAAATATATTGAAGATTAGCAATGTACGATATTGTCGAATTGGTGCTTGACATTGTCAATATTGAGTTCTTTCTAGACAGTTAGAATGGATGTTTTAACTAATGTAGTGCTGCATATAGACTTAAAAAATGAAAATGATCGGTATGTGACCTATTTGTGTCATAAGAGTATACTAATTAGACTCTATTATGAGTTTCTTCATTTCTATATTTTTTTCTTATATATTTTTCTTTGGATAGAATAATCAGTTGAATGACAGCTGTTTTGATGAATTTATAAGCTGACTACTGGCGTTTTCTTTTTGTAGGTGCTGTCTCATTTCTAATAGATCGAAGGAACTAATTCACTATTCATAGACCATGAATACTAAAGGCAGAAATTTCTAATCACTAATATTCTTTCACACTGACAAGATATCACGATTGATAAGTTCAGGTCATAATTAGTCAAATTTTCATTAGAACGATGGCGTAGTAAAGAAAAAAAGATGATTAATTGATTTCAAATGCAAATAGTAATGGAAATAAAGTTTAGCGCGCTATTATCTTTGGAAAGTATACGTTATCTCTTCATCCATATCGACACGCTCAATTATTTTATATATTAATGATTAGTTTTCTCCAACATCATCTTTCTTAAAAATTCTTGTTTAGGATCGATTGAAATAACTGTGTTTACTGTTAATGTCTACTATGCAATTCCGTACGATTTCAATTATATATGACTGTCAAATATTTTGTCGACTGTACATTCTCGCTTTTTCAGATTTGATCGAGGGCATGCGTTGCAGCTGTACCCGATTTTCTGAAAATTCGTCTCATTTTTTCTGCTTGTGGCAAATAATCTTAGTTGTTCCAGTTTTCGGCACGCTGATGAAAGAACACCAAATATCAGAGAATCAGAATGATTGAAATCACTTGTTCGAAGAAAGAGACGACTAGATTTTTTTCTATTCTCGCTTTAATTATCATGTGAAACGAAAAAAAGTAAGGTCCAGAATATTTGTCAACTTTCAAAGATCTTGGAAATTAAACGAACATGATCTTTTCCAATCAAAATAACAAATATCGCCCTTTTGACCAAAAAAAATTGTCTAACTTCGTTTCCATTGATACTTTTTCTCATTGTTCAACAATACACACGATTTAGAAATTAAAAATGCAAGAAGAATGATAGAATTCAAGCAATTGAATAGATATCAATAACTTAGATATCTACACTTTCTGACTACCACGGAGGGTATCAGTAGCAGAGGAGGAGAGAAGAAAAATCATCGATGCTCAGACTTATATACACAAATTATTTAGCACTATTTAGTTCATTGGAATCCTTGATTTTTCTTGAATTGTTCGGATTCTACGGTATTCACATGCCGTAGATCTAAAAGTTATTCAACGCGATTTAACTTCTTTATAAGAAATATTTGGACGTTTCTTGAAGGACTGAGCCCCTCTTCTACTAGTCACCATCTGGTTCAGTTGTTACTGAAAAATCATTAGAATAGTATGAGAAAACCTTCATCTGTTTTGCATAGAACATCATTGATCATATAATAAACTCAACAGAATTTGTTTTAATTATAAATTAAGATATTACTGTGATGTCTATATTAAACACAACATAATGTTTATGTATGTGTAGCATTTTGCTGGGAAATAATACATCGCATGATGCTCAATAAGAATTTTGAATAAAATATTTCCAACATCTACAAGATCAAATTCACATAGGAGCAGTCTATTAATGAAAAAAATTTAATATGTAATGGAACCTTCTGAAGTTTATCTCAACAACACCATGTTTTTTTAAGGTCATAATGATATCTTTGACAACTTAATCTTTCCCTCACTCTGATTTTAATGATGATTAATGCTATTTGATGAATATGTGTCGTATCGTGCAGGGTGTTCTAAAAGTTCGATTAAAATAGAAATACGAATAAGTCTTCAACAGTTAATGGTTATATATTTTTAACGTGAAACATATCAAGCGCAGTGAACACCCACTGATTAGATATATATCGGATTCATAGAAATTCAAATGAATTTTTTCTTGATAGAGAAATTTTACAGCTTCTTTAAAGATGATGCAAGTCTCAGTTATAGACAAGACAGAAAACAAACAAAGTATAGGTTTCTGTAAAATTTCTATAGCTGAGACATTAAATTATCTACACGAATCTCTGCACTTATCAATTAATTTTTGTTAAACTGTCGAATAATAATGTTTTATTGCTATAATTAATAATTGTTCATCGTATTTCATCGACATAGTATAATGAGTTTGTCTTCTATATTATAGAGTCTTAGTAAGATAAGATCTTTATCAAGATAAATGATAACCAATTTCAATAATATTGTATTGTTGACGCAGTGTCGATTACTAAAAATAATAAAATTAGATTACATCACAAACAAGATTATAGAATTTAGCATTGGATAAAAACAAAGAATCAAATCAAAATTTCAAAAAATTGTCTGAAATATATTCTGGCTAATGATGATTCATTCAGTTTTATTTTTGGCTCGTTGTTGAGTCCATAGCAGCGATGCCCATGGCGACGGTATCAGTGACATTACCTTTTTAAACTCACTGTAGTACAGTTGTCTTGTCATTTCTAGGATTTCGATTATCACAGAGGTAGATTTCCAACCGCGATGAACATCACTAGTTTGTAGTCACAATTGATATTTTCGTTTTGTTTAATTATTTCTATTTTCTCATCTAAAGATTGATTTGAAAAAATAACACAAAACTAAATGGCGAATGAAAGAGGCCATAGACAAATAAGAATCAAGACTTGTTTATCATTTATCTTTTGAGTTGTCGAATTGAGTTATTTGTGAACTATCTTGAAATGCAACCAGACCAAGTTCGATTTCTTGTGTTAATAAGTAACATTTTTTTGTTTTTTTATGTTGAATATATCCATTTGATGTTAATTGACATTCATCAATAATATTTATTGTATTTATAAATTCATTTAAATTATTAACAATAGTTTGTAATAATGAAAATAATATCTCATAGTCAAAATCATATTTTTCATCGATATTTATTATTTGTTTAGAAGGTTCTTGTTCAATTATATTTGTACGTAATTTGCCAATTATTATGCCACAATAAAAAGCTTCATGTGTTGACATTGATATATTTGTACATGAGTAAACAAATAATTCTATATCAAGATAATTATTATCGATAGTTTGCCGAAATGTAATCATACATTTATTGATACTATCATAAACTTGATGAATCAAAATATTTGTTATAATTGGATGATATTTTGAACGATATTCTATTTCCATTTCTTCACAATCAATTTGATCATTCATTGTAAATTCGATTAAACCTTTACTTGCTGCTATATGCTAAAAAATTAGAAAAAAACTTAAGAAGAAGAAGAAATGAAAAGGCATACGAGTGGAATTAAATCACCATAACTGAATGAAAAGAATGATGAATATATTCAATAAAATAGAGAAATTTATTTTACCAATTTCGATACTATCCACTTGAAAGAATTCCCAATGTATGTGCAGGGTGTACATCGATAAATGATTGAGTATACCCTGTCAGACAAAATTTTTCAAAAACGCGTTTAAACACCTAAAAACTCAATTAGTAGGCGTTTTTGGGCGTTTCTAAAAAACTGGTCATGTAAACGTCAACTATTTTATTTTTAAGTAAATGAAAACTATCAAAATATCTACAGCCGTTTTATGTATCCTAATAAACGATTGAAAAAGCTACATCCAATGCGTTTTAACGCTTATTTTGTATGGCATGCGCTTTTTGCATAGAAATTCCATAGTTTTAGACGTTTCTCATTAACAATTTTCTTTCAGTGTACGGAACGTTGAATCATAGACGTTAAATTTTATATAAAATAATATTTTTTAGCGTGTGAATCTGCAATTTTTTCTTAGTTTTTCTATATGTAGAAAGATACCTTAATAACTCAAAAAAATTAAAGAATACTATGGCTATTCAACACCAAAATTTTCATTTCGATTAGTTCTGTATATTTATAAACGTTTGCACGCTTACAATATCATATCAGCATTATTTGAATGCGCTTCCATACGGTAAACCAATAAATTCCTACAGATTAAAAGCTGAAGAAATACTGATGTGTTTAAATAACCAAAATATTGTGTTTCCGGGTGTGAGTGTGGGCTGTGGATATGAGTAAACAGAAAAACCCAATACACAACCAAAACCCTACCCACATCCACCTCAGATGTTAGTGAATGCCGTATCCGGCAATCGGCAACAACAGTATACTAGACAATGCATGTACCGCCAAAAGGCAAAGGCAAAATCAAAACAGTGATTCTTTCTGCTCATTAACCAAAAGCAACGTCCTCTGACAACTACTCAATAAATTAGAACTCACAAATCACATGACCGAACATCATGTCACAGTTACACAAACAACCAGAGACTCCGATAAAAGGAACCTTCACAACATCCATACGAATGCTTTGTAACAGACTAAAACATCATGCCAACATAACCGGAAAAAAAAGAAAAGTTCCACTGTGGCCACGTCTGTGCTCAACTCCATTTCACCGATTCTCAACCCCTGAATTCTATATCTCGTTACAGGACAAGGCAGGAACCCGCACATATACCCATCAATCGATAGAGCGTTCCCAACAACCCTAGGATTGGCCCAAACATGACTAAAACATATCTTTATAATAAGGGAGAAAAGTCTTCCCGAAATTTGATTGGTCAAAATTTGACCAATCGAGTTGCACATATGGTCACTACTCATTCACCGTTTTGTTTCGCCTATCTCGTTGTGATAAATACCCCTGCGAAAATCATGACACTTCCCTACAATCGAATACAAACACATAGGCTAAGTACTTCTCATTTGCCCTTCCTTTCTGCTACACATCTCAACTTTATACTCATAGGCAAGGCAGGAGCCCACACATATACCCATCAATCGATAGAGCGTCCCCAAGAACCCTAGGATTGACCAGAACATAGCTACCCAAGCAGACAAACATTTTCAAAAATGCGTTTAAACGCATGAAAACGGGCTTAAAATCCATAAAAAGTGGACGTGTTTGGCTCACAATCTCAGTTCCCGACTGTCAGCGAAAAACGACCACTTTTTGCCCTTTTTGTGCGTTTAAACGCGTTTTCAGCAAAAAACGGTGATAAACGCGTGTAAACGCATAAGACGATCATAAAAAGTTGTCATCTTTTTCATACTCATAAATCACAATCACAGTTCACGAAAAGGAAAAAGATAACTACTTTTTATGTTCTGTTTATGCGTTTATACGAGTTTACAAGCGTGTTTTTGCTGAAAACGCGTTTAAACGCACAAAAAGGGCAAAAAGTGGTCGTTTTTCGCTGACAGTCGGGAACCACGATTGTGAGCCAAACACGTCCACTTTTTATGGATTTTAAGCCCTTCTTTATGCGTTTAAACGCGTTTTTGAAAATGTTTGTCTGCTTGGGTAGAACATGTCCGTATAATAAGAGAGGAAAGTCCTCCCGAAATCTGATTGGTCAAAAACGGTCCAATCGGGTTCCACATATCGTCACTCATCATTCACCGTTTTTTTTCGCCTCACACATCAGTATAAATATTCTTGCAAAACTGATGACTCCTATCTACCATCGAACAAAATCACAGCGTAGGTACATCTCATTTGTTCTTCCTTCTGCTACACATCTCAAGTTTTCACTCATGGACAAGACAGAGACCTCACACATATACTCATCAATCGATAGAGTGTCCCCAAGAATCCTAGGATTGGCCCGAGCATGACTAGTACATGCCCTTATAATAAGTGAGAAAAATCCTCCTGAAATGTTGATTAGGCATTTTTATTGATCTATGAAAGCCCAGGATTCGATTACAGCATGAAGGTCTCGGAGGGGTCCCACACATATACCCATCAATCGATAGAGCGTCCCTAAGAACCCTAGGATCGGCTCGAGCATGACTTGTACATGTTCTTATAATAAGAGAGAAAAGTCCCCCTGAAATTTGATTGGGCCTTTTGTATTGACCAATGAAAACGCGCAGTTCGATTACTGCATGAAGGGCTGGGAGGCAACCCATGCATGAGTTGACAGAGTTTCTCCAACAGCCATCAGATTGGCCGGATTATGGCCACTGGATCCGACTATAGGACGGCTGAAAAGTCGTTGAAAGTCAGACAGTTTTATTTTGGTAATGCTGTGGTGTCTTTGTCGGCCGTATGTTGCATAACGGAATCTGGGCGTGAAATTTTTCGGGCATTTTTGATGTCGATGGTTAAGTGTGCAGTCGTTTCTGGTCGTCGTAATGTTCGATCTAGGTAGTGGTTTGTTTGGGACGCTGAGATCTGTAGGGGACATGAACTCGAGTTCGGCATGCGTGTGGTTCACACTTCTGAGTGATGGTATATTGAGTGGTGGTTGAAAATTAGCGTTTGTACGGAAGCTTGTATCAGTGAATGTTATTCGACAGTCGCTGTTCCCGATTGCTAGGGAAAATGCGTGGAAAATCAAGGCGTGACAGGTTTAAGTGGTATAAACATTGAACTGATTAGAATTTGATCGGGTCAGAAAGTGAGCGTTTTCACGCCTATAATAATGGAACGTGTTTGGTTCACAGTTGCGGTTCCTGATTGTGACCCATTAACGTTTCGGAAAGATTGTCGAGAATGAGGCTTTTTTTTGTATACGTTTACATGGCCAGAAAAAGTTTCGTTTTCGGTGGAGTGAAAATAGCGCGCGTTGAATTTTTTTGCGTTTTCATGATGCAGTTTATTGGTCGTTTGTGGGTAACAATCGGGAACCTCAAGTGGTATACAAAAACGATCTTGAAAAGTATAGTGTTTAAACGCGTTTTTGAAAAATCTTCTCTACTGGGTTGGGATTAAGTACATTCTTTATTTGTAACTTCTGTGATAAAATTCGATTGAATTTAACTAATTTTTCGGTATTATCAAATAGATTATTCATATCGCTTTTGACTTGACATCTGACAAGTGAAGTTTTTGGATTGATTTATTTTTCATTATTCGAAGTTGGATTCTTTGGATGTCTTCATTCAGTAATACTACTCAGTCATGGTGGCTCTACCACTTAAATGACAACACTTTAATTTTACTTCACTGTCCTTGTGCTTCAAACTAAATAATAACCTGTAGTAGTTCGATAATTAAATGGTCGTTATCCTATGATTGTCACTCTTCCTAGCAGAGGTGGGCGACTTAGAGGTTTTTCAAGTCTCAAGTCAAGTCAAGTCACTAAAAAAACATTTCAAGTCAAGTCAAGTCAAGTCATACCCAAAAATTTTTTCCACCAAGTCAAGTCAAGTCCGGTCCCAAAATTTTTTCGATCAAGTCAAGTCAAGTCCAAGTCAAGTCAAGGCAAACCAAGTTGAGTCAAACATTTATTCGACTTAATTTGACTTCATTAGTAAGAATTTTTAAACGCTTCTGACTTAACTTCGTTTGACTTGCAGGTTCAGCTGGAAGCAGAACTGGACAAGTTAGTGGTTTCTTAAGTCACACGTCAAGTCGATGCGCAAGTCAAGTCAAGTCATGATCCAAGTCAAGTCAAGTCAAGTCACGAATCAAGTCAAGTCAAGTCACGATCCAAGTCAAGTCAAACTCAAGTCAAGTCAAGTCAAACCCAAGTCAAGTCAAGTCAAGTCAGGGTATTCAAAATTTTCCCCAAGTCAAGTCAAGTCAAGTCAAGTCAGACTTGACTTGACTTGACTTGAAAGTAGGGTATTTTTGACTTGACTTGCCCAGCTCTGCTTCCTAGATGTACTGATGACTGTTCTCTGATCGATAATCTACTGTCAGTACACTGGTGATAGAACGAACAACGATGCAACATGGGCATTTTCCCATATGTACTTTCACTGTTGTTCTGACTCGTATGATTTAACACAACGGAAAAAAATTTTGTATCTTGTTTCTCTTCATTGTTACTAAACTCTCTTTATCAAGCGAAACAAGAAGCTTAGCACATTCGTTTACTTAAATGCCAAAATACAAACGAATTAGTTTTAGGATAACGAAGAGCAGAGAACAGGAACAAGATCTGAAAAATTGACATAACATTGAAGAGCCAGTAGAAAAATTTTGTTTAAGCACTTATGGATAGATTTTAATGAGTTAGATCTTGTTAGATGCTTATGCATAAGAAATTTCAACGGAATGTTAAATGATATGTGAAAGTATAACAGAATACAATCGAGTTATCACTTATCAAACAGATCGTAGAAGTGGAAAGCGATAATATTTTACTAAAAGAATTCGTTTTTAATTGAAATTCATGTATTGATGATGATGATGAATCATATGACAAAGTAACTGAATACATGGAGCAGAAAATGAGTTATAAAAAAGTGACATGTATTATCATGATCAAAAAAGCATTCACCTAGTTATCTAAAATCATGACGTTTGATACCATTATTGTGGGTTTAGGACAGTTGCTCGACGGACAGTTGCTCACCGGACTGTTGCTCGATAGGACACTTGCTCGATCGCTTTTATATAAGTATGATGATTGAATACGACTAAACATTACAGAGATAATGACCGTCAGTGTGCTCTACATATAGACTAATCAGTTCAGTCAATTTTGTCTTGAATTATTATACTGAAAATTAAGCGATCATGTCATTCGCGAGCAAGTGTCCTATCGAGCAAGTGTCCTATTGAGCAACTGTCCTATCGAGCAAGTGTCCTATCGAGCAACTGTCCGCGCGCAACTGTCCGTCGAGCAACTGTCCGGATCCCCATTATTGTGTCTCATTCCAACGTCTTTTATTAGTAACCAACAAACATACACTTAGCGAGATCAATCGGGCTTTAGAAGCAGAAAGACACCAACTAAGTTCTGGTTCACTGACTTTTTTATGGGAATCAGGATGATCTCTTTGTTATTCTTGCTGTTTATAAAAGAAATTAAAAAAGTATACTAAATACAACGGTCCAGGTCTGAGTCCGGTTGCACAAAGTTGTATCCGTACAGAATGCTAGTCATAAGTGTTGATAAGAAGTGTCTGTGAGATTGATTAAAAAAAACAAGCTTTTGATGATGTGAAATTATTAATAGAATAATGATATTAGATAGTACTATGAATGTTAGACGGTGCATTGCATTCTAACATTTGTATTTGACTCTATTGTTTAAGTTGTAATGATTCATTGAAACAGGAAAAAGAAACATTAGTCATGTTACTATCTATTTAGATCAGTTTTAGTTATTTGGATATTGAATACATGCAAGATTTATGAAAATAATATGAATTATTTCATAATAAAACAAGAAAGAAGAACATTGTAGCCAATTTAGATTAGTAAGTAGTCGAATAATAAAAGACATATTTTATTGAAATGTAAGATGAAACTGGCAACAAATGCAAATGAATTATTATACAACGAATTCTTAAGACTCATTTATTTAGATGTATTTAAAACATTGCTAAGACTTATAACTACGATTCTTTAATCCTTGTAGTTCTTATAATAGTTTTAAATATTGAAGTCACATTAGCACTGATTGTATTTAATGAAGAAGATATGTTTGTCATTGAAACCTTTTTATTAAGGCTTCGATCAACATTTACATCTAATTTCATATGAGTCACAGTTAATGTTTGACGTATATCAATAATGCGTGTTAATGATTCAATTTGTGCATAGCCATCAGTATCAAGACGAAGAGTTGTCCATTTTAATAAACTAAAACGACCATCATTTCGTGGACCACGTAGATGAGGTAATCCTATACAGAAAAATACATATAAAAAAGAATGATCTGAAAAATATTTATTATTTTTTTTCCTACCAATATAAATAGCTAATTCATATGCTGGTCTAACAACACACATTTTTCGTTGAATTAGTCTTAATGCCAAATCATCATCTTCTCCACCCCAACCCCAATATAAATTTGAAAATCCATTAAATGTTTTATACATATCAAATGTTAATAAAAGAACACCACCGATTAAAAATTCATAATATCGTATATAACCTCGTTTACTATCTAGATTTCGAACACGTGATGTTGTATGTTTTGGATATTTTGTTTCACATGCATAAAGATTTCCATCATCTTCAGGTATTAAATCAACATCATGCAATACCAGACATGTTATATTCAAAGATTTTTTTTCAAGATAATTAATAGCAGCATTAAACAATCGACCTTTATTAAATCGATAACCCATTGGAGAAACCTATGAAAATAATAGTGAAAAAGTTTCCGACATAACATTCTCTTACGATGTTCTCCTTCCAATTTCCATGTTTGTTTTTTACCTATAGATACTAGATAATTTTCTAATAAGAAGTCTAAAACAATTTCGGTTTCTGTTAAGATTTGACTTAGCTATCGAATTTTGATCTGATACCTAGCGCATATAGAGAATTCAATGAGACTAATTTCCATAAAGAAAAAAATGCAAAAGTTTTGAACAAAGTCTCTTCAAGATGTGAGACTTTCAAGATGTAAATCTTTTTTCATGGATAATTTGTGCAACATGCATCTTTCGGTAGCTTCGTATTTTGAAAAAACTTTATTCAAAATTTCTAACTTTTATTATGGAAACTAGTCGAGTTGAATTCTCTATATACGCTAGGTGTTAGATCAAAATTCGATAGATCAGCTAAATCTTAATAGCAACTTAAATGATTTTAGCTGCTCTATTAGAAGACTATACAGCATCCATAGGTAAACAATTATTGAAATTGAAAGGAGACATCTATAGAAGTTCTCTCGTAAGTAACTATTATTGCTCGCTATGAAAATTCGTATAACGTTTTCTTAATTAAAATTAACCCAAGTAAAATAGTAATTTTTACTAATTTAACAATAGAGGTGTGCAGAATCAACCTTAGTCTCAATCCTAGCCATTGGAATCGTGAGAAAAGAAGTTGCTAAGACCACGATTATGAAAACAAAAGTTGTTCCAACCGAAACTTAAGATAATAGTTAAATATTCTATGCTTTTAAGAGAGTTATCTTATAAATCCTATCAATCCAGATATCATTGATGAGGGATGACCCAAAAAAATGCTAATCATCGGCTAAATAAAAAAAATAAGTACTAAAAATTGTGTTAGGTGCGATAAGAATAAACTATTGATAACTTTTCTCTAGACAGGAACCGACACAACATGATCTAGCACATCTTCATTAGTTGTGAAGCTAGAATACTAGGGCTCCTTTTGTTTTTTTCCAGTGAGGAGGAGAGACAATAGCAGATAGCACTCTTGCTACGTGCGTCGTGTTATCAAGTATAAACAGTACCAATAGAATAGCAGCATTCTCTCGTACCATTTTCAGAACAAGAGAGGAGTTAGTGTTCTAGTTTCGTCGTTAACTAATCTCCTGGTGTTTTTTGTCTTGCATAATATAGTGAACGTAGTGAGGGCACCACCTGTCACTACCTCTTCCCTTTGTCCACAAAAAAAGCAAGAGAGGCCCTGGTGTTCTGGTTCCACCACTAATCTCTATTCAACACAAGACAAGATAGTAATCATAATAATGAAACTCAAACATCAGTTTGAACGGTATTCTTCAAGTAAGTAGAAAGTAAGTCAGGACACTCAATAAGACTAGTTAACAATGCCCACATTATCCATCAGGTGTGATCTAAATTGTCTTGCATACCCGATAGGACCAGCCACCTTTTCAAGAAATGTTCTTCCATTACGTTTGGACTAGTCCAAAACGTACTTACATCTATCATATCTAGTCTGCTTTGCCTGTTCATTCCCTATAGACTAGGAAGCAGAACCGAAAGTAAGAAAAAATGATACAAAAGGTAGATTCAAACATTTGATTCGACAGTATTTGATATTCGATGGTACGTCTGAAAGCATACCATCATATAACCACCAACAGGTGTCAGTTTAAACTGTTTAAATAGCAGAGCGGCACGTTATACGTTCTGCATATAACTGAAACTAATCAAAGAAAAACGAGTTGACTAATCTGAAATATTGTCAACGTATTCAATGAATCCATGCTTTCCATACATTTCATCGTATTCAATGTACAAATTTGTTTGCTTCATATCAATGGGTTTATCGAGTACCTCTGTGAAGAATAAATATTTGTACCTTTTTCTACTGAGAGTATAAGATTCTATTAAAGCATAAAAGTATACATGAAAATATAAAGTATTCTGATTACCTATCCATGATTAAAATGAATCTTTTTCCTTACAATGAGTAGGCTAGAATAAATAGTTACGTTTTATATTCTATTTTTTAATCATCTAATACGTTTTATTAAAAGAAAAGCAACAAATATTGCAAGTTGTAGTATGAAAAGCTCTCCAATAGAAAGGTTATAGTACATATCTATCTTTACTTGTCAAAATAGACAAAATTCAATGTGATCAATTCCCATGCTACGAAAAAATTACTTTTTTGGCACAAGATGAGATCCTGTTTTTATTTCTTCGATTAATGAGCTATACTAGTTGCAGATTTTAATTCAATTGATACGTGCTTTGATTATTTTTTTTTTCATTGATTCTGATATTATTTGTTAGAGGGATATAAGAACTTTTTACAATAAGACTAGGCAAAAACGTGCTGTCATGATTAGAGAAATGACTAGTCCTTTGCTCATCTCTGTTAAAAGTAAAATTGATACTAATAATTGAAAAGATACTAAAATACTTCTTCGCATTATTCATATATAAATAACTTGACTTTTCTAATGAATTAGATAAATGTATGCAACGACCACAATTTGATAAGAATATTCATGGTGAAAAACTATCTGTTTGCATACATGTACAAAGTTGAAAATATTTACTGTAAAATAATACGTCTGACAAAAGCTACTCGTTTACTAATCATGTGCTTACGTATTAAAGTAAAGGAAGTAAAAAATACGCACTAAGGATAAACAGGCACTCTGATTTTTTATTTCATATATTTTCAAAATCAGTCAAAACAGCAGAGTATGATAATCTTCGATTTCATAATGAACCTTCAGTGAAACACGAGGCAAAAGAAGTATAGAATTAAAAATTTCGATCCCACACAAACGTGACAAACATGTTAGCAACCATTCATCACAGATATGACAGACATTGTTGATATATGATCAAAGACGTATATCAATGATGACTTGTTAGACTATATGAACTCGTACCTGATTACATTTCTGAAGAATTAAGTAAAAGGATGGTGAAGAAATGTGTTCGAAAATAGATAGAATAAAACAATCTCCTTGTGACTTATCAACCACAACTGCATTCTGTTTATACATTTTGATCCCACAGGGATTATGCTAATAGTTTTGTTTTTGTTGAATAAGTTCTTTTGTTATGAACATATGTAAAAATATTACTTCTCTTTGCTCACAGCTAATTGAACTTAATTAGTTATAGACGATTCGCTACCATCACGAAATCTTCAACGTAATAATATCTCGATAGAACAAAATTTTCTGTACGAATGAGTTTTTCAAGTGATTCCAGAGCCATTCAATATATATTTGATACATAAAAATTAGCTAAAATAATGCTTAGAATCCAAAGGTATAGCCGTTTTTATTTTATGAAATTACATCGCTAACGAATATATATGCATTAAATCTAAAAGAAAATCATGTTGTATTCTCTAAACCACATTAAAAAATAAAAATCAATGCTAATTGCTCATTATGAAAATTAAATCTATTGTTTTCCGTATGTTATTTTTTTACCTGTTCAACAAGTATTATTGTATACGTAAGTTGTTGTCGTCTAGCAAATGCATGCATATTGAATAGAAATGTCTTAGCATTATATTCTCGTCCTTGTAATGGTACTAATATAGCTGTACGTTGAGCTGATGTTATTCCAACAGGATGCCACATACTTTCTTGATATATGTAAGGTATATTTTCAAATGTAATATTATTTGCAAATGATGTTGCAATTGTTTCAGTATCTTTTTTTTTGTTAACTAAAATTTTTGTATAGAAATTTTCTATATCATTATACGTTATGTTTGTATATGGTAAAACATAAGGAAATGGACCACGTAAATATTTCGAATATTTTGGATGAAATTTATTTGCATTTTTTGTTGGATTATCAAGATTAAACACTCGGCATGCCATAGATGTACGTAAAACAAATTCTTGATAAGGTACTACTAAATAACGTGATGGAACTGAGGATGATTGAATAGGAATAGTTGATGATGAGTCAAAAAAACTGTTTCGTTCATCATAAATAATCGAAACAGAATTTCCTCGTGTAGTCTGACATTTTGTAGTAAAAACAAGAAAAAACAATGGTAAAATTGTTAGGATTAATGATGGAAGTAATAATCGGCGCCAATATATTTTATGCATACCTAAAAAAATAAACAATACAACACAGACATTTATTACTCTTTCTGTATCTGGATAACTTCTTAATGCCAAGTTGAATGTCATTCGATTTATTCTTGCGTATAATTATAACTTACACATATAATTTGAATATTTATGAAGAAAATTTAAAGATTATAAGTTACACTGTCTTTATCCCCATTTAGATCATAATTGTCGAACAACAGAACAGAGTATTGATAAGTATTACTTGACGAAATCATTAGAAGAAAGAAAAGTGATAAATGACATTCTTGAAGCGTAGAATAAGTCATTGTTTTTTCCTCTATATTTCTCGGTCTTTTGTCTTTCTCTCATGAATGCATTTGTACGTATGCCTAATTTGACGTCACATCGATGTCTGAATGTGAAAATACAAGAGGATTTTATCATTATGTTCTGTGACGAGAATTTTTCGTTCTGTAATTTATCAAAATCGATATATACTTAATAATTTAATTGAATTCACTATAAAGGAAAACTATTGTATATGATTGGATGCTTTCGAAACAAGAGCAACATAAGGTAATATTCATTGCAACCATAGTGAAAACAACTTGAAAGCAAAAAGAAAAAAAGAAGAAGGAAAGCAACATTTTTTTTTCTTGGCATCATCGTGTGAAGCTGTGTTTGTGTTGAACGGGTGCCGTTGGTAAGCATTAAGCAAACGCAACAGAAAGAAAGGAGAGAACGACAATAAACGCACAGTAGGTAATAATGCTAGCATATGTATATATATATATATGCCATGTATTCAGAATAAAAGAGAGATAGTCTTTTTTTTAATTGGTACAAGAATGTGATTTCATCGTTTGTAACTGGAGACTCTAAATGATTGAATCATATCTTTTATGATCAAGAACCAAAGCTATAGAGTATTTGCTTCTTTTCTTTTTGAAATAATTCTAAATAAAAAATAATAGATAGAAATTTTTATATGTAGAAAATCAGAAAACATTTCAACTTATAAAAAATTTAAAATTATAATTATATATTAAAAATTATTAGCGTACTTCTATAATATTTTTTTCAATAATATTCTGATATTCATTGTCAAGTTTTGTATACTGAGAGCATATTAATGGTATGCGTATATACATATACTTGTATGTGTGAATAAATGGACTTGTTATGCCTTCTATTACTACTCCGTTAGCGTTAGAAAAAAAAGTCGAGTTATTTTGAAAAAATCTTAATCATTTTCAGTTCAATTCATAATTGTTATATATTTTCTTTTTATCAAAATGATTGTCCTTGATTGTTTTTTATTTTTATAGGAATTGAAACTTTTGCTTGTTTTTTTTTATTTCAAATTTTTGATATAATCAAAATAGAATTGACACATTCCATTTGCCTACAGCAATAATTTTACTTGAAATTTCAATAATATGAGTCTCCAAATCATTATAAAAGACTTGACAACTGAGTTCTTTATTAGAGTGTTGTTTTTTTTGCAGAAGGAAGCAAAAAAAAGTATGTTGTCAGACGAGACCATATCAAACATTCGTTTACATCGTAATACTCGTCTTGAGCCAAATGCACAACCATTTATTGTTTCTGCAAATTCACAATTTCATTCATCCACATCAAAATCACAACAACGTCGACCACCTGCTGAACGTACTCCATCATCACGTTCATCAAAATCAGCTGTTGATGCTAAGAATCGAGCTGTTAGTGATAGTTGTATGGCAGCAGCTATTGGAGATTTACAATGGCTTAAACAAAGTATAAGAGATGGACCTATTGGAAGTGGTGAAGCAACAAGTGTTGAACAAACTTATGGAAAAGATGTAAAATTTTCAAAAAAGGAAATGATTTTTTTTGATAATTAATTTTTATCGATTTATATTAGGGTCTTGCTCCTATTCATCTTGCTGCTTTACATGGTCGACTTAATTGTTTATCGTATCTTGTTGAAACAGTTCATATTGATATTGATTTACCAAGTTCAACAGGTTGGCGTCCAATTCATTTATGTATATCAAAAGAAACTGGTACACGTTCATTTCAATGTTTACAATATCTTGTTGAAAAAGGAGCACAAATAAATATGTAAGTAAAACAAAACAAAAAGAAAATCTTAAATGAAATTCATTGTTGTTATAGTTTTTTTTTTTCTTAATTTATTTTTATTAGAATTAATGATGATCAATTAACACCACTTCATCAAGCTGCTTCCGAAGGTCATGTACAATGTTTAGAATTTTTACTTGCACATAATGCTGATGTATATGCTGAAGATAGTCGTAAACAATTACCTATTGATCTTGCAAAATTATGGGGTAATAAAAAATGTGCTAAATTACTTGCAGCTGCTATGTGGCATCAAAATAAACATTTATCAGCCAAAGAACGTCTTTTATCACGTAATGCAAAAATGGCTGATCTTTTACTTGAAATCAAACGTGAACATGCCATTTTATTTGAAGAAAAAAGTGATGTAAATAAGCTCTATCTTTTTTTTTCATATGTATTTTTAGAAATTCTCATTAAATATTATATAGGAAAAATTTGATCAATGGTTAGTTGATATAGGTACAGGATCTGCAATACAAAAAACTGAACAAGACAGTAATTATCTAACGTATAGTCATGTTTTTTTTCTTTGTCTGTTTATTATTTATTTTTTTGGGTACGAAACCATTGACTTCTGTAGTTCAACAAGAACAACAGCAATCACAAAATCAAACAACGCTTCCAGCTATATCTCGTGAATATATGATAAATCAATCTCGTACAGATAAATCTACTATACCAAAACGTGACCGACCATCAACATTTGTAAATATGCAAAGATGGAATACTTCCACTCATGTCAAACCAAATCCTTATGTACCGGATTTACCTGATAATTATCCACGTGATCCATTTACTAAAATGCCACCTAAACGTGATGCTGTTGAAGTCTATCGTTTACTTCAAAGTATTTATTATATTTTTTTTTAGAAAAAAAAACTAATTAGTTTTATCTAATGTAATGAATCATTTAGAAATGACCGTAGATGATGTAAAAAAATTTCTTAGTCGTAGAAAAGAACAACTAATTGATACAAAAACATCTGGACAACAAAAGCAACGACCTGTTGTCTATGCTGCATGTCATGTTGATGATATACAAACATTACATAAACCAAGAAAAGGTGAAGAATCTTTTCGACCATTACGTCATTTTGATGAAAGTGGTTTACATTTTACAAATGATGCACGAACAAGTATTTTCTTTCAACAATTATCGGAAGCAATGGAAGGTGGTGAAAATACTGCTCAATCTCGACGACAAGCAGCAGAAGACAAAGCTAAATGGGCTTTATTTGAACAATATGGTCCAGAACTTATTGAATTTTTAACTGATCGACGTGGTCGTTTTAAACGACAATTTGATAAAGTTTTTATAACCTAGAAATTAATTTATTTTATGAAATATTTTCGAGAGAAAAAAGAAAATAAGTTTGTGAATAAGCAAAAATGCTTTAAAATTCATTTAATTGACAATTATTCAATAATAGAAAATACAAAACACATTTCAGTTTTCTTTTTGCATACATCATTTCAATGCTTTTATTCTAAACTCTTATAAACAAACATGATTAATATGCAAAGTATGTCAGGTTAGTGAGAACAATATATCACCATTATTTTACAGTTATAACCAGTCAATAATTGTCTTACATTATTGAAGAATAATTGATAAACATATGTTATTATTTTCTATTCAGGAAAGATTCATCATTTAAGTGGTAAATGTAATTTAACGAATTCATAATACACATACAGTTTTAAAGTTTTATCAGTGATACTGAATATGGTTAAACGATTGTATATAAAGTTTCAGATTTAATTAAATTAATACTTTGACTTATTTGCGTAACTGTTAATAAAACTGATCATAGTAAATAGAATGATCAATAGAAATCATAGATGTTCATTATAATTGAAAACATCTCGGTACCACGATAGTGTTCGAGAACTTCTTTGAAAATCTCCCAATGAAATCGGATGCAAATTCATGCAATTTTACAAATAAAAATGAAAGACTGTTTCAATAATATTTCTGAAGCATCTTCAATGTCATTGCCGCCGTCGTTGTTACGGCGGCATCGTCACCATGAACACCTTTGATAAGAATCGATGATGAATTTCCGCTGAAAAAATAAATAAAAATAATACTTTCGGAATCGTTTATTTAAGAACAGAAGTTTCTTTTTATGAGAGATTGTGTCAGTAGCACTGAAAACATTTTATTATAATATATAAAGACATAATATATTTCTTTCTCGTCCAACTAGCATCATAGTATATGTAAATAGATGTAGTTTTTTGAACGCGTAGGCTGATGCATCAAATTTTTGTTTTGTGTCTCAAGATTTAAGTTCTTTTTTTTATAAAGTACAAATATGCTCAAAATAAAATATTAGAATTTTAATTATTTAAACACACAAATTCGTTATTATCTCTACATTCTTGTTGCGATTGATCTTCAGTCAAAGTTCTTTTTCCATATACTTCAGTATAAACTTCTTGCCTTAGAGAAAAAACAGATCTTAATTTACCAATAAGATTCTTGTGATCTAGGTGTACACTTTATTACAAGATTGAAATTTTATAGCCAGTCAGGTTTTGATCATTTTTTTTTCAGACACTCAAGCTAGTCTATTTCGCTCGATTTTATTGATTATCATGCTTTTAAGGATTTAGAAGTATGAGTTCGAAAACTTTCGACTGATAAATATCTTCACATTATCAAAATTATAAATTTAAATATTGACATTACACTTTCGCATTGTATAATAAGAGTATTAGTTCATCTAGAATGTATTAATTATTGTCACGAAAACTTCCACAAGTATTAGAAGTTAAATTCGATCTAGATTAAATTTTTTTCATCTCAAAACTTCAAATTTAGTTTTTTTTTGTCTTGTCATTAACTGACTCTTATACATTCTCAATGACTAGTATTTTTTTTTAATCAATATTTTCAT